CTATTGCAGCCTCAATTTCAGTGACATTCTCAAGCTCTAAATCTCCTCCCTCACCGAGATGGTCATAAACCCATGATGGGAAATATACATCGCTTGAGCAATTTCCCTTTGAATTAGACTTCCTTCTTCTTCCAGCCATTTCCAACAATAACATCCCAAAACTATAAACATCTGATTTGCAAGAAACAGCTCCGAGGTTCCTTGAAATCATTTCAGGAGCAACGTACCCTATAGTTCCTCTGGTAGTACTAATGGATGCAAAATCCTTTTCCCTGGGATAAAATTTTGCGAGGCCAAAATCTGAAACTTTTGGGATGAAATTACTATCTAGCAGGACATTGTGAGGCTTAATATCCAAATGAAGAATGCATACGCTGCATCCCCCATGAAGATGCTCAATCCCTCGAGCTGTGCCTACAGCTATCTGAAGGAGTTTCTCCCAACTAACTAGAAGAAGTTCTGTTTTTCTTGAAAACAAAAGCTTATCAAGAGATCCATTAGCCATGTACTCGAATACAAGAGCTCGGTACGATCCCTCGGAACAAAATCCCACCAACCGTACTATGTTGACATGATGAATTCTACCAATTATGGAGACTTCGTTAATGAAGTCCTCGTCATTGCATTTGGCATTGCCAAGCATTTTAACGGCAACTAAAAACGCATCACGAAGTTGTCCTTTATATACATTCCCAAATCCACCTTGGCCTAACTTATCCTTGAAGTTGTTTGTAATTGCAATAATGTCAGAGAAAGTGTACCTCTTGGGCATCAAGTGTTGCTGATTGACCAGAAATATCTCTTCGTTGCCAGACGCCTTCTTTGTTGTAATATACTTGTGAATGAGGAATCCAAATATCCCTATCGGAGCGAGGATGAATCTTCCAACAAGATATACTGCTGGAATCATAATGAAATTTGTTAATTTTGAAAAAACAAAACTATAAGCTCAGCGAGCGTTAGGACTTGGGAGTTCCGATACGTGAAAGAAATACCTGACAAAAAATCCCAAACCATAGAGAAGGCTGCAAGCCATGGGGGAAGATAATAATCTGCACAGACACATAAGCACCGAAAAGTTAAGCCTTTTACGACTTCACTCAAGAAATGATTCACAGTAGTCTTCGAAACAAAATAATGATAATCAAAGCAGATCAAGAAAAGAAGGAATGTTTTTGGGATGTGACTGGCCTGATCTGTAACAACCATAGCTATATGATGAGTGCCAGCACCCAATAGACCATTCAAGATCAAACCCTGTTTGCATCAATTGCAAGATGCTATCATAAGAGGGGAACAGCACAGCCTGATAAACCGTAGGCACTCTTGAAACGAACAAGCAAGATCCTTGGAGACTAGAAATTATGTAGGTGACATAACTAACATAAACACTAGTCCCATTTCCACTCAAACAAGGAACTAGTCTATAAGCTTGGTCAGTCAAATTACTTGAACACTTGATAAAACTTGTATAAGTAGTAGCGTCTAATCTATAGTGATCATCATCCATAAACTCATCAACCGACACTGATTTGTACGGGAGGCTGCAGGTACCATTAGCTAAGTTAACATCAACGACACGGAGTCTCTGAACATCATAGGAAATCCGCTTAACAAGATACTTCCCTGAGTGGAGTTCCAATATGGTCTTGTTGTTCTCGCAAGAAAGTTCGAAGTCTGGTTCGCCACAGCCAGCGGGATCGGTCTTCAGGCGAAAAGGGTAGTCGATGATTTCAATGTCTCCACATGAGGAAGGGGAGCAAACATGTGGGATGAATCTTGCTAGAACTTTGGTTGTGAGTAGAAAGATAAGCAGAGTAAACAGAGTGGCTAAGGCTGTAGGTGAACCTTGCCTCTTTGTCATGGTTTCTTTTCTACAAGAAAGATGTGGATTAGGGTAATAAAATGACAGAGAAGAATTGCTTTGGTAGAATTTCTAGCACTAAAAAAACCCGACCTGCCAGGAAGTCTTCGACGCTAGTCCACCAAGTCAATGGCTTGAAGCTTAATGATTAATTAAAGTATGACCAAAATGGTCAATATACGTGGGAGATCAATTTACCTTACCAGCCAACATTTATTTTGTGGTATTATTATGTAATCATTATGTTCCTTGCCAGATAATTAGTTAATCACCAAATATAAATCTCTATATTTAATATTTCTTTGCAATTTAATCCTTTCTTTAATTTCCACGACCAATTCACCAAATATAAATTTCTTTAAGGACCAATAATTGCTGTGTCTATTCTGAGTTTAAAACAATCAATAAATTCAAACATTGGAATCTATCTCACGGGCTTGGTTTTCAGTTGATTGGAGAAGTGGCTTTTGATCATGAGGAAGTGTTGGGTACATTTCGAGCTTGTTTGTCAAAGTATGAGAAATTCTTGAGATTTCTAAGAGAAACTGGAGTGTTAATCAATCTCTTCCAGCTACTGAACAAGGGCTCTAGTAATCTTGACTTGCGTCTTTTAGCAATCAAGAAAAAGAGGATTATATTCATAAACCGTGCGCATGAAACACGAGACAAATCAATTCACGAATGCATCAGCTTGATCAATATTTGTAGGGTCTGTAAACTTGGTTTTTAAAGGGTCGGGTTTTTGTTTTAGCTGCGGGGACTGATTTAGATAAAATACATTAAATGGGACTGACTTGTGGAATCTATAATTGTTTGGGGATTAATTTGTAGTTACCCCAGAACGAAAAGGTCCATAGACCAAATGGTTAGCTCCATGATAGGCGAGTGGACCGAGAGAGGAAACTAGATTGCCCCTAATTTCAACGGGCCAAGCCTACTTTTCCATTGGGTAATTATTAGCCCATCAGGAGCTGGCACCTCTCAATCAAGATCTCAAACTCTGTTTAATTTGTAAATAGACCAAGCCTACCCCAACCTTTCTTTACTAGTTAGAACCTCGCTATTGGGTTTGGTATGCAAGTATTAGCCTCACTGTTTCGATCCTGTTCTGTTAACATTTTCTCTGTTTCCTGAAAAAAGTACTAAAATCCTCGTATTTATAACACCATGAATTAATCCAGAAAATAAAGGAGGTGCATTTAAAAAAATCCAACACACAGAACTGAATGCGAATAACATGTCTTTAACATTATATGATAAAAGACATAGTCCCAGTTGATACATAATCTGATTTAAGGATAATCTTCATTGTAAGGGGGGAAAAAATGGTTACATGTAACTATACCCTACATTTATGTCAATCTATTTTCATTTTAATTTCTTTACCCTTTCCTGTTCCCTTTCTCTTTTGATAAGTATTTTCTTACTAATATATATAAATCTATATTCCATTTTGTAATGTCATGTGTTCATAATACTCCCATCCACATGCTAGCTACTGTGGTGTCAGGACGAACATCTTTCATGCGTGGGATTCAACAGTTTTTGTAAGTTGATGTCGAACTGAAGTCATTGTTGAATGCTTCAAATTGAAGTTCCCTATTATTAGTTTTTTTTATTTTATTTTGCTGGCACAAATTAATCAAAATGTGTGAGAGATTCATTGAGTCAGACCGCCAGGACGTCACGGGCATTGATCACTGCTGGTGATTTGGGTCCAGTGTCACTGAAATATGAAGATATGGAAGCCATGAATGATCGTCTATTCCACACGACCATCGTTATCCTCTTCCCACTCGGAGGACCAGTCCATACCCGTACAGACATCCCCGTACACTATACAAAAAGGAAGCTTGTAATATTCGGAGTATTTAAGGAGCATAACGCTCTTAATCTACCTATTTCAATTTGCTGTGCATTTGATACTTTGGAGGGATGAGACTGAGACTGTCAGCCATGATCATTTTTTGTCATTTGGTCATGGCTTCTTTTCTCCAAGAAAGATGGGTGGGGGATTGGATAAACAGTTGGATAACAAATGGAGAGGCAGAATTATGCTTTGACGCTTTTGCACTAAAAAACATACTTGTTATGGTTACAAGGGGTCAACTCAGTCGATGTCTTGGAGTATTTGTGTTTCGATTAAATCATGGAATACTTGTTGGAATGGACAGCATTAATGGAAAACAAAAATAACAGCGGGCGTTTCAAGAATCGATACGGGAAAGAAAACATCTACCATTGTCATTTGGCCGCTAAAAAACAATAATGGTAGAGGAAACATGAAAACGTACGCCCAAATTAAATTTGTTTTATGCTAATAATGATTATGAAAGAGGCATAGAGAAGGAAAGAGGTGACAGTGATGCAGTCTAACTATGGCCAATTTCCTGGTAAGTATGTAGGGGGGAACGAGGCAAATAAGGCCAGGCCGGCTCTAATTTAGATCACTGCTAGAGTTCTTCTGGTACGTAGTTGATGGTGGTAGTATATAGCTTGAAATTAACTCGACAGCTCACTCAATACTGCAGCCATGGGATTTAGAGCCACAGCCCAGTTGTTCTTCCTCCTTTCTTTCTTTGCTTCTGGAATTCATCTCATTTTCTCTGCCACAGACCCCGGTGATGGTAATTTAACAGCTTTCCTTCCTCTATCCTCTTCTTCTTGTAACTTCATTTTATTTCTTCGATATTTCTATTATTATTATTACGATCCATATTTTATCGTCTATATTGGATTTATCTCATTTCCAACTGCATGTTATCAAGCCAACAACCAGTAGTTTATCATTTGAGCAATGGTTTTGTGTGGTATTAGCAGCTGCAGAACTCCAATCCCTCAAAAGTCACTGGCAAAATACGCCACCAAGCTGGGATCAGACCGATGATCCATGTGGAGCACCATGGGTAGGAGTTACATGCACCAATTCAAGGATCACTTCATTGTCAGTGCTGAATCCCTCATCATTATCAGTAACTAATTATTATTCACAGTCTCTAAAGATTGATCAAAAGCAAGATCATTCTGATCATCAGTAAGAATTTTATACATTTCAGGAAGTTACCAAGCATGAGCCTCGCAGGGAATCTAAGTGATCGTATTGGAGGACTAACCGAATTGAGATCCTTGTAAGTTATCTATTTTCTTTATTTTAAGCAAATTCAAATTGTAGTTCTACCTTAGCAAGGTTGCTAATAATTAAGCATTGAAACATTACATTTTTTCACAAATGGTCAGATGCGTGCAATAATCTGTCTTAAAATCTTACATTCAAGCTTTGAGGTATTTTTATTGCAGGGACCTGTCATTTAATCCAAACGTTACAGGATCCCTCACTCCACGGTTAGGAGATCTGAAAAACTTGAAAATCCTGTAAGATGTACTCAATTTTCTACATGGTCAGCCGGCATATATACTTCTTCCTTGAACATGTCATAGCAACTGTATTTCATGCGCCTTTTCAGAATTCTTGCTGGCTGTGGCTTCAGTGGTAGTATTCCAGATGAGCTGGGCAATCTTGCTGAGCTATCCTTCTTGTAAGAGTCGTTAAACTTGTGATAATTATGAATACATGAATCAACAGGGATGCTATATCTTCACTATGTTAAACACTAACCTTGTTTACAGGGCTCTCAACTCAAACATTTTATCTGGTAGAATCCCCGCTTCGCTCGGTAAACTCTCCAAACTCTACTGGCTGGACCTTGCAGAAAATCAATTGACAGGAACCATACCAATCTCCAAGAACTCCAGCCCAGGCTTGGACCAGTTACTAAATGCTAAGCACTTGTGAGCATATTTTTCAATAACACCTTCAATGTGGAAGATGAGACAGCATTGTATTTACATGTTTCTATAAGTGCAATTAATTAATGCCTGATGCATAAATAATAGCTAATTTTCTGAATTTGCAGCAATTTCAATAGAAACCAGCTTTCAGGCTTCATTCCACCTGAACTTTTCAGCTTTGATATGATGCTGATACGCGTGTAAGTTCTTAACGACATAATGGTTTTGTTCCTCAAGCATGTTATTTCACCCCGATTCTGCCCTTCTAATTGATTTGTGATTCTTTGATGACAGATTGTTCGATGGGAATCGACTTGAAGGAGAAATTCCTTCCACGTTAGGTCTAGTTCAGACTCTTGAGGTTCTGTAAGTGAAAACTGTCCCGGTTTTGTCTTCCTCGTTGCGAGCTCAATTAGGACTGATATAATTCATTTTGCTTGCCGCAGTCGACTCAATAGAAATGCTTTATCTGGGGAGGTTCCAAAAAATCTGAACAACCTCACGAATCTCAATGAATTGTGGGTACTTTTAATCTACTCGCACAATTTATGAAGGCAAGCGGTTTCAGTCTGTTAAAAATGATCATACTTTTGCCTTCGTAACTCACAGGAATTTAGCAAACAATAAACTGGCGGGCCCTTTACCAGATTTAACTAAAATGGACTCCCTCAGTTACGTGTAAGTCAATTTAATTGGAAGATCCCTTCTGTTCTTTAACCTTGTTCTTTTCATGTTACCGAATTCTGATCCATAATTTATTTTTGCAGGGATCTCAGTAACAATTCTTTCTACTCTTCAGAATCTTCTGATTGGTTCTCAACCTTACCATCTCTCACCACCTTGTAAGTCTCCATCACATCAGAAATATATTGTGAAGAAACCTATAGATTGTTTTCTCATTTGGAAATTCCCATTATGGTGCAGAGTTATTGAAAATGGATCTCTTCAAGGGACTTTAACGCCAAAAGTCTTCAGTTTTCCCAATATACAGCAAGTGTAAGTTTTGTTTCGGATTCCAAGTGTCAATTGAGCTAGTAAAAAAAATTGTTAGAAAGTGCAAAATTAACCATTCATATATTTAAAATTTGGAAGGCTATTGAGGAACAATGCATTCAATGGCACCTTTGACCTGGATGACAGCTTTAGTCCACAACTTCAACTCGTTGATCTGCAGAACAACCAGATTTCCGCCGTAACACTGTCAGCTCACTACAAAAACAAATTAATGTAAGCGAGTTTCTAGAACTTACATTTATTCTTATGAAAAATGAATCAATTCTTTCAACCACTCACCATAAATCTCAATTTTCATTATCATGTTCTCAGACTTGTGGGAAACCCTGTGTGCACTGGTCTCCCAAATGTTAGTTTCTGTCAACCGTAGCAGATGATTTCAATATCTCCACATGAGGAAGGATAGCAAGCGTCTTGATTCGTTTTTATGCTAAATTCGGTTATTCATAGCTGTACAAGCTTTCAGTTGACTCTTCGTTGTTTTGAATTCTTTTAGTCCTTTGTTTCCAATTCCCAATTTCCTGCTGGTAATTTTTTTCATATGAACCCTTCATTTTTATTCTCATTTACATTTAGATTTTATAATTATCAAAGATTATCGAGTTGGGCCTGAGCCATTACTACTTTTAATTTGAAACTGCAACTAATTCCTGATTTTTTTTTAATGAATCTCACTAAAATGTAAACAAAGAAGGCCAAAGGCTCAAACTCGAAATACATGTCTTTGGAACTTCCGCCGTTTGGTGATGCTGTTAGAATTCGTCGAATTGCAACTCGCAACCAATTTGGTGAACCGAAATTTTGATTTTTGGGATTATGGGCTTTCGCTTTAAAAGGTTAAGAACCAGTAATGGTAATACTGTATTCTTTTTCAAAGCAATAGAGAATCTATGCCTGCGAGAGTTTCTGGAGAGGGAACAGCATATTCTACTTTCAACCAGCGAGGTATTACCAAATATTTTCTATTTCTTCACTGTTCTGTCTGAGCTTTTTATAAAAGAAAAGCCTCCCACCATTACAGTAACGTGTGTTTATTATTGATGTCTCCTTTTTCCAGTTTAGTTAGAACATGGAAAAATAAAATTGACGACAAATTCCTATCCTTCGTCTCACCCCATCTCTTTTATGATCAACACGGTGGTAGCATACGATGATGATTTCTGTCATAAGCAAAAAAGCACAATGTAACGGGTTCGAGCTTGCCGGAAAAACAGGGCCGGCCAGATCATATGAATAACTTGAGTAATGATTCAAAATCTCTCTTAAATAATTAAAAAAAACTTTAAGAATATATAAAATATATTTATCAATTATATTTTATGAAATAAATATTATTCCCATTTAATAAAAAATTTCAAATATAGACAACTCAACACCTAAAAAATAATTAAAAAATATCATTTATAATTTTGAGTAAAACTATTATCCATCTTAAGCCAGGCAGGCAGAGTCTGAAAATCTTGACCTTAACCTAGATAGATAGATAGATAGATAGGTTCTAAATTGTCCTTTTGCTGCTGTGTAGATTTATCTGGTGTTATAGATAAACCAGTTACCTTATCATCATTGTCCAATCAGTGCCCAAACCATTGAAACTACATGACTTCCATCTTAAGCAACAATTAAGACCCTAGTTCAGTTAAACGTTAGCTGAACAGTTCAGTTAGAGTCTCCAAATTCAGATCTCCATCTTAATTTTTTCCAAAAAAAATAAAAATAAAAAATCATAATAATCCAATCCCGTTGAAAACAAAAAACAATAACAATGATGTATAAAATACATGACAAATTAAATGAAATCATTAAAAAGCAGCCCCAACCAACATGGCATGGTGATTTTGTAAGAAGGGTTTGTTGGAGAGTGCCCTCCGATGACAAATACTAAAACTTGAAAAATGCACAGCAGTAAAAAAAACAGAAAAGAACCCCAAGGCCTCGAGGGCTCAAGGGCTCTCAAAAAATTTACAGTGGCTCAGAAATTCTAAAAAAAAAAGAGAGTTCATAGCTAGTCGAAACTCCCACAAACCCTCTCAAAATAAATCTAATTAAAAGAAAAAAAAAACATCCTTAAAATCATTCACCAATCATCATCATCGAATAATCATCCTCGTCGCCATCACGAGCACGCATCATCTCAGGGAGAACCACTCCACTAAGTTCTCCCCCACGCGCCTTCGCGTTTCTTCAACGCGCTCATCGGAAACAAGCGGCCACCGACACAGAGGGCAGTTAAAATTGAGATGATCAAGCCATCCATCAAAACATTCCTTGTGAAACACGTGGCGGCAATCGAGCTTCCTCACCTGGTCCCCATCCCTTAGAGTGCACAAGCACACCACACAATCCGATCCTCCCTTGTCATTTCTATCATCACGACCGCAACAATACTTGTAAGCAAATACCCGGTTGATTTTACGCTGCTCGGCAAGCACGATCAGACCGGCAAGACCAGAGCCCATTGAGCCCATCAGCCTATCATCCATAACGTGGTCTTGGTCCAATCGGTGAACGCCCAAGGCGTGGAAAACGCTGAAAAAGAAAGAGCGAAGGCAGGCAACACAGTTGGCTATGAATGCTATAAGGAGTAACGGGATCGATTCAGAAGACACATCGTTCAGCTGGTTTTGTAACCCCATCTTATCCTCTTCCTCTCTGTGTGTGTTTTGGTTGAGTCCACAGTGTTTTAGGTTGTGTGATTAAGAGAGACGGGGGATGGTTTTGATATATAGAGAGGTGTTTGATAAATAGCCAAAAGATAGGGGGGAGGGAGAGAGAATTCGGTTTTAGAGGGCAGGCGATGCTATGGATGTCGAAGTTTGCGGGACTAGAGAGGGGGGAGGAGATTTTGGGTCTTCTCAATGGCCATGTGTGGTGGGTCCTCTCCTCTCCTCGGTGGAAAATACTTCTCATTACAAGCAAATACATTCTCAAAGTTTTTTTTATTTTTTATTGCTGTTAATTTATAGAGCTCAACAGACGAGGGACTAGTCAATACGCCTGCAAGTGAAGATTAATACGTTGTTCACGATCGAAAAAGAGTGATTATTTAAAATATATATATATTTTTCCGATGAGAAATTCGGTCCGCATCCATCGATGCAAGTTAGATGACAATGATTTCTCGATTCACATGCTTCATCGTTGTAGCATGTCGTGCTAATTTTCTATCGGATCCCCCTGGAAAGGACTCTAATTAAGATGGCAATGATCGAGGGAATTCTATCGTAAGATTAATAAAAAGGGTTTCTTCACCGAACACAATTTCTTATCTCACACACCTCAACAACTCTTGCTTGTATTGTAGGTATTGTTCTATTATAAGAAAAAAGAATTACATGTGACTATGAAAAGGATTATTAAATTGCGTGAGAGAAACAAGGATTAGTCTATATTTAAATAGTTTATTTACCGAGAAATAATTAACTGCAATCAAATTTGATAGGAAATGCTTGCACTTGAAATAAATTATTATCCTGTATTTGACGCGGAAAGGGTTTGGCACATGGAAACAAGAGGGGCAGATCACGCAATGAAAACTTATCGTCACAAAAATTGTAACCTAACAAAGATCGATCAATTCCTGCTTCAATTATTGCTCTAATTAATGTGACTGTTAGGCCGTCGCGTCCAGAAAAACTCACAGCTGCTACTGTTTTATGGAAAAGTCATACTCATACATTCTCAAAAAATGAATTGTTAATTTTGAATAAATTGAGAAGGAATTGTCCTTATGAACAATTAAAGATGTCGTCATCGAAATTAATGATGTTTCTGGACACCTTCCGATTTTTTAAAAAAAGTTACCAATTAATGTTATAATAAAGGACAAAATGTACAATTTTGTTGAATTCTTGGAGTGGAAATATACTTTGATGGTGGTCCTCCTAATTTGTTTAATAAAACTAGATCTTTCAAGGGGGAAAAAAAAAAAAAAGTCAAGAAATGCAAGGGTCAGCTGTCTGGTTTACATATATCCTATTTGTCATTGTAGTATTTGTTATTTTTTAAAGTATTAATATAATAAAACAATTTATTTTTTATTTTTAAAAAATTTATTTTTAACATCACCATATTAAATTAATCTAAACATATTTTAAAAATTAATTTAAAATAATATTTTAACAAAAACACAAATACAAAAATAAACAAAGCCTTTAAAGTAATACACTAACCACTTAGTAAATTAAGTAGGTGAGATAACTCAACTCAACAGATCTTAAATTTGATTTTTAATGGTCACAAATCCAAATTAATTTAAAAAAAAATTATGTGTGAGAGAGGCAAGAAACCTCTTAAAATAAGTTTATAACTTTCTTCGAAAATGGCAATGCATTATTTGAGGAAAAAAAGGTATATTTTTATAAATATTTATACCAGATTTAGTAGAGGTTATTTTTTAATGTATTTTTATTATAAAATATATAAAAATAATATTTTTTAATTTTATTTTTAATATTAAAATATTAAAATTACAATAAAAAATTTAAAACTAAAAAAAATTAAATATTTTAAAGAGTAGAATCAAATTATTCTATAGAGATTAGCGTGTTTGGGAGTGTGGTTATTGTTACTTTTCAAACTGCTTTTTATTTAGAAAAGTATGTCAATAATATTTTTTTATTTTTTAAAAATTATTTTTAAAATCAGTATATCAAAATAATTTAAAAACATCAAAAATATATTAATTAAAAAAAATTAAATTTTTTAAAAATAATTTTAAAACACAGTGTCAAACAGTATCCAAACCAGGCTATCGAAGGACCACGGCCACGTGCTGAGGGGAAAAAAACCGATGGTCATTAGCCTTTTTGTCTCCTTGAGTTTGTCATAGAGGGACCACAACAACCATGGAGCTTTTGCGTCAGTACATGCTTAATGAGGACAAATTCTCAGGGCATACTGCCTTCATGCATGGGCTAGGTTAAATCTTGCAAGGAAAAACAAACAAAGAAAGGAGGAGGTGAATTAGGCGCGGAAAAAACAAAAAAAAAAAAAAAAGATTACTGGATGTAGCTAGAATCGCAAGGCCCTTCGAAATGGTAAAAAGGAAGAAGCAAAGTTTGTGAAGACTTGGAAAGAGAACGAGTTGTACGGATTCTCCATTCCATTCTTATATCTTTACCACCAATATATGCTTGTGTTTGATCCAACTTTGTACGCAGCCGATACAAACAGCCTGTCAGGATCGGAAAGCAGTCCCCACGCACCATCGAAGATCACAGGATTCGAAAGCCAAATTCCCGTTATCTTTAAAATTCTAGATTTCAATGATTTGATGTAGCCGCTCGCACAACTTGGATCCCTGTTAAACAGCTCGTTCATTTAAATACAAAACTACCCTCGATCTGTGTATATATACATACATACATATATATTAAGGTTGTTGATTATTAGATTAGGTCTAGCTTGTATATTATAAATGGATTTTATTCAAGTTATTAGAAGAATTATTAAAAAAATAATAATTTTTTCTAATCATATATAAAAACATATAGCACATATGAATAAATAGAAAATTTTTATTATTAAAAAAATATAAT